GGCCTGGTGTGGCCCCTATCGGCCTCTTGGGATTTTTAGCTTTTTTATTTTTCTAATGTTTTGTTTTTTTAACTTTTAATTGTATTTATGTTTTTAGTGTGTTGTAAGCCACCCAGAGTCCCCCATTGTGGAGAGATGGGCAGGGACAAGTTAAATAAATAATATAAATAAATAAATAAATAAATAAAAATCAGAACTGTATTTACAGACAAGCAAGCTAGTTGACTAGTGCACCAGAGAACTGAACAAATGTTCTGCCCAGCCCTTTCCATGCCTTTAATTAATCATGCCTTGAGTCAGTTATGATCCTCTGTCTTTTCTCCTTTTTCTTTAGCTATTCTTACAGAGTCAATTTTGCAAAACCTACTACAAAGTACTGTATGTACTTACTGCATTTGAGAAAGTTATGCCCATTTCTGCAATAAGAGCATTGGTCTTTTTCAAAGGTGTCTGAAATAAAGGAAACATATAAAGAACCATAGTATGTAGAAAGGAAGATTTTATGGCTGCAATCTTATGAAGATCTACTAAAAAGTAAATACCACTAAATATGCTAGAATTTTTCAGAACTGCACATTTTGAGGAGCTGCATATACAGTATCCCAGCTGAGCAAAATTGTTTGCTGATGTTGCATGCTTTGATTTTCAACAATAAAACTTTATAAACATTGCAGATTGAGAAACCAATATTGTTTTATTATTACTGAAATCTCAAAATTAGAAACAAATTATTCCATAACTACAGTATTTTAAATTCCTGCATGGAAAACCAGCTGTTTTCTGAGATGTTGTCCTTCTTAAGGAAAGAACAAGCATAGAGCTGCAAAGCAGCTGCCCTTAACATATTGCAACAGTAGGATCTTTATATACTAATTAACTGATACAAAATACCTTTCCACTGAAAATACTGTTTTAATGTGTAACACCTGTGCCTAGCCCAATCATTTATTAGTCAGTAATATGAATTGTATGCAGCATAAGCAAACCTTTTGGAAAATTTTGGAAAGATGTCATTCACTGCAAATTGTGGTAGGTCATTCAATAAATATTAAGGATTTTTTTACCTTTCCAGTTTCCCTGGAATCTAGTTTAAAACATTCAGAGATTACTTCAGGACTTAGCTAGTATTTTAAGCTGAAGCACAGACCAGATACTGTCCAATCCCCATTAAATCAAGGTACATAATACTAAAGCTTCCTATTTATCCCAAGCCCTGAGGCAGAAAATCCCATAAGCACCTCTGCTAAGGAATAAGAACACAGTGCATAAATTGAACAATTTCCTTCCTTTCCAGATCACTCAGAATCAGCTGCTGCAAATGTGCTCCTTAATTCTAGGGCTGGCCTTGCTATATACCAAATGATACGACCATGGCCCAAGCTTTCTTCCCTATTCCCTGTTTTCTATACCATTTGGAGGTGTCTAGAAACTTAATTTGATCGGTTCCACTACAGGTGCATGCAGGATTGTGTGCATTTCACCTGTGGACCACTATAGCTACAACTCTTTTAAGTACAGTAAGAGGCGCCTCCTTTTATTCTCTTCCTGGAATGGAGAAACAAACACCTAGTCTAACTGGTGGGGATCTCTGCTGCTCCCTTGACTGCCCACCAACCCAGAGCGGGGCCAGCTTCAATCTTAAGCATCTCCAGGCCGCCCTAGCACACGGTAACTTCCTCTGTTCAGGAAGTTCCAGGTTAGAGCAGGTTCAGTGCTCTCCCCCGCTTCCTTTCTGCAGCGCTCTTATTCATGCACGCTTACTCCCACTGTGGACTCCCTCCTCTGCAAGCCTGCATTAAACGCAGTGGAGGGAGTAGCACAGGCGTATTAAGAGGGACGCTCCGTCCTGGATATCAGCTGGCGCCGAGGTCGTTCCAGAGCGCCTCCTCCCCTCCCTCAACAGTGACGGGGCTTTTCTACTCATCCTTCGCTACTGTACCGGAACCCCCTCGCACTCCCTGCTCCCTGAGGGTCCACATCGCCCCACCCCCTTCCAGTCAGGCACGCGACGCCTGGAGCAAGAGCAAGGCTACCATTCCCCCCAAGTAGACGTCCTGGTCGTCTGTCAGAATCAGCACCACATTGGGCTTCTGCGCCCCGCTGAGACCCGCTGCCCCTGCTCCAGCGCCGACCCAAGCGGTGGACCCGAGGGCCAGCAGGAGCAGCAGAGGCCGGGCGAGAGCGGCGGAGGCTGCAGCCATCCTTGCATCCGAGCCAGACGCGGAGATCAGGCAAAGCATCGGACCGCGCAAGAGAGTCGCGAGACGAGGAGGCGTGGCGCGCTTCCCTATTTCTCCTTCTCCCCCTCGCCTCCTCTCTTCTGATAGGCTGAGGGACGGAGCCCAAGCAGGTCCACGTGACCTGGAGACCTCCGGCAGCTTCCGTGAAGGCCGTAAACGCGCTCCGGCCCCGCCCACCGGTCTGCGCTTCTGCCGCGTTCCGACCTTGATTGGCTCCGATCGCTCCTGCGGGATTTCCAGAGGGAAGGTCGCAAAACGGCGGCGTCAGGGTTTCAATTGGCGTTAAGAAGCTGAGTCCTACCACCTGTTTAAGCGGCTGGGTGTTTCTCTCAGCTTGGAAGCGTATCAATCGTAAGGGTAATGATGTATTATGAGCCTTTACCAAAGCATGGAACAAAACAAGATAAAGGGAAAAAAAGAAAGAACGCAATTATTACAGATCAGTCCAGTGAAATTAGCTACCTCGTGTCCAACAGCTTTAATGTTGGACGTCGACTCCCATAATTCGCATCGACTTCATGGGAGTTGAAGTCCAAGAGTTCATGTATGCTGTTTTCTGAGAATGCCGTAGAGCCTCTCTCTGCTGTCCAAGCATTTGAACCCCCAAATAGCTTTGGGGATGGAACTTGGACTTAGTTGATACAGTACATAGTTTTTCTGCACTGCGGCCTTCAGCTACTCAACTGCCTTGCATCAAATGAAGCTATCTTTAAGAAATTCCTTTCCGGATTTTCAGCCCCTTCCTTCACTTTGGCCACAGTAACGGCCTGGTGTTTTGTCCACCTGGGCTCACCATGGCTCCTGGTTAGTAGATTCCCCTGCATTTAGTTTTCTTACCTGTCCCAAATAACAAGCACCAATCACTATGGGTGGGTTACTGAGGACATGTGTTTTCCATTGATAGACTTTCTGTAGCAGCCCCCCTCCATTCATATCCTCCTCCGTACTGTATTTGACGTGTTCTCATCTGATGTGTCCTGTGGTGGACCGGAGAAAGGAAGAAAATAAAACACAGTTTTATCTTTATTCCTATTACTTGGTCTATGGAGGGAAACTAGCAGACTTCTTGTACATTTCACTTGGTTTTTAAAAAATGTTTGACTTTTTAGGTTGATCAGTGAGCCTGTTAAAATAAAAATAAAAAAACAAAGCCCAGGCTTTTACCAGTGAATGAATATAGATATACCCACAGCATCCTACCAGTGAACCTGTTTTTTTAAAAAAGTAAGTTCCAGTGTTTCACCATTCCAACAGTCCAGGATAAAATAGGCAGCGGCTGGAGGGGAGGGGGCACTCCTGCTGTAGCCAATTGGAGTGGAGGCATTTGTTTT